TTAAGTCCTTTCCTAACTGTATTATATATTCTCTAATGGAATGGTGACCAGACTAGCGTTAGATTCTTTTTCATCTATTTGTCTCATGAGACGTGATACAACCCCATCAGTGTATAAAATAGGGTGACTGTTGTTCAGGAAGCACGTAAGTTATACCTATTGATTGTATTCAAAATACTCCCAGCGGTCCGGTTCCTAGGCGTTTGGGAGTTTTGGCAAAAGTCCAGTAAGTTTGGCATACAGGGTTTGCAATGAGCCTTAAAAGACTGATAATTAATTAGGGTCACGGCAGCCTAAGCATCTTTTACATGGCCATGTAGTTAAGCCTCCTGTTGGGCTGTAAACCATGCGCTAGTAGTAATTTCAGAACAACAGCATACATGAGTGCATGCAGGCCAGGAAACGAATCCAATACAAGGCTGCCATGTGGCATGTAGAGGCCCATACGAGATCAGCCTCCGACGCTGGTTTAATACGATTCCTCGGTCTCCTCACACTCCTTGGTATCTGGAATTTGAGCTTGGCGCCTTACAAACTAGACTAGAGGAAGTTGGAGGTGGAAGATATGCATTGAAGACCGTGCAAAATCAAATTTGTGAAGTATTTGTGACCGGAGTGAGTAGATTCACTAGGACAATAAACCAACCCTATTACCTTACCATTAACTCTCCGTAAACCCACCAAGTCTGACCTGTTACCTCTTATTAACCCTGGCTGATAATCTTCCTGGATGGAAAGCATCACTTATGAATAAGGCCGGTCGTTTGATCTCAGTATGGGTGGTACTCACTGCTATCCCGATCTATCTTATGGTTGCCATGGATTTACCAAAATAGGTGTTAAAAGCCATTGATAGAAAAGACGAGGCTTCTTGTGGAAGGGCGGCTATTGGGGGTAACTGTCTAGTTTCATGGGAAAAGGTTCAACGCCCAATTCAGTTTGGGGGGCTAGGCATTCATAACCTTGAAACTTTGGGCTGGTCACTCCGTATCAGATGGCTGTGGGCACAGAAGACTGATGAGGAACATCTTTGGGCAGGTTTACCAGTGCAAGTCCCACGTATTGCAGAGCATTGCTCCCAACCTGATCAAGATCATTCCCAAGAGAGCCTTGAAACAACGTACAGTGGCACAAGCTTTACAGAACAGAAGTTGGGTAGCTGACACCAAGGGGGCCTTGACAATTGAAGTTTGTTGGAATACTTGCAACTCTGGGACATGATTGACAATTTTGATCTTCAACAGGACACTTCCGATCAGCACCAATGGAGACTTACACGATCAGGCTCTTACTTTAGCAAATCAGGCTATGTGGCATTTTTCACAGGGACCATCAAATTTGCACCTTGGAAGCGAATCTGGAAATCTCGGGCCCCTCTTCATTGCAAATTCTTCGTCTGGCTCGCGATCAAGAATCGCTGCTGGATGGCTGCAAAGCAAGGGCTTCCATCCCTCGTGTGATCAGGCTGATGAAACAATCCAGCATATCCTGATTGGTTGTGTGCAATGTTATCAGGACGGCTGGTCAAGCCTGGTCGCCTGGGGACCGTCCAGGACGATTAGTCGTCGTCCAGGACGATTAATCGACCCTGGACGAGTCCCCTGGTCGTCCCGGTCGTCCCCTGGACGAGTCCCCTGGTCGTCCCGGTCGTCCCCTACACATATGGGGACTGATATATACCATATATATATATATATATATATATATATATATATATATATATATATATATATATATATATATATATAGTTTTTTGCTAGGGCCTTCTCAACAAGAGATGCAACATCTGGAGCAGCTGAGGATGCTGAACCAGCAGCAGCTGAGCCTCATGCAACTGAGGAGGCTGGAGCAGAACCAACTTCTCCTTGAACATCGGCCTCAGGCATGTACACTTCCACCTGCGCACTCCGCTGGATCTGCAGGCCTGTGAGAGAGCCTGCAGCAGCAGCCACAAGGAAGAGAGGGAGGGCAGCTGGAAGGAGGGAGGAGCAGCTGGGAACCGGAAGGGAGGAGAGGAGGAGGGAGCTGCAGAACTGCAGCAATGGAGGCGGCTGCTGCAGCCAAACTATCTCAAATGGAAAGGGACAAGGTGAGAAGAGTGCGTGTGTTATGCTGACTTTTCAATTTGAAGTCATTTGAGTGAGTGAGGGTAGGAAAGAAGAGAAACCCTAATGGGCTTGGGCCAGATGAAAAAACATAAGATAGCTAGCTAGGCCCAAACTCTGAGATGCAGCCCACTCTCTGGCTCTGGACGACCATATAACTGGACAGATGATTAATCGCGAAATTTGGACGACAACTAATCGGATAGGAGTTTGTAAACATCTAAATTTAAAAATCACAAATTTTCAAACTATCTCAAATGGAAAGTTGACCAAAACAAAATTGTAGACTTGGGTCAATTTGAAGTCATTTAGAGTTCATAATACTAGAGTCAAAGTGTTGTTTTTTTCATTTGACCAAATTTGAGGCCCTAAATGTCGAGTGAAAAAAGCTAAGTTTGATCATCCCAGAGACGGTTACATCGCTCACATTTAAGTTTTATGCGTCATAAATTAATCGGACGTCCTGATAACATTGGTTGTGTGTTTGCAAGGCAGGTTTGGACAGCTATCTTTTTCTCACAAATTGTTGGGATTGACCAAAACAAGAATTGTAGATCTTGATTTGCACCACAACCAGAAGAGTCCCATTTTAGTAGCTGGTGGAGCAAGACAATCAAGGCAAGGTTCCAAAGGAGATAAAGAAAGGGCTTAACTAACTCATTATCTTAGTTGCTTGGGATATCTGGAAACATAGGAATGACTCTGTTTATGAGAGAGCATTCAAAAGGTTGTACTTGTAGTCTATGAATGTAATCTGTGGTACTGGGCTGGTGCTAAGGCATTACAACAGCTCCTTTGTAGGTCATTGCCACCGGCTGCTTAGGCTCCAGATGGCATCATTTTTTTGTCGTGTTTTTTCTTTGCAGCGAATAGTGCTGCTGTTAGCCATGTATTAGATGTGGCCTAAGGAATTGGCTTTGCCTCTCCTTTGAATTGGCTTTGCCTCTTTGGGTTTTTTTTGTTTCTCTCTTAATGAAATGGCACGCAGTTCTCCTGCCTAGTTTGAGAAAAAAAAATAAACCAACCCTAGAACCTGGCCTGAACAGAAACCAGACAGACTATGTTCACATCAAAACTAATCAGATATGTATAGCACAGCTGGCCATAGGAAGATGTGCCTCCATGGACCTAGCAGGCCACACATAATAACATGCATAATTTTATGCTAACCGGGTCATCTCCTAGTTCGTGTGGCAGACTAGCAGCTACAAGCAAACAAGTCATAACAGTCCTATTTAGTGTTGGAATCTACAACCACCTAAAAAACGTCGAAGGGTTTCGTCGACCGGCCCTTGGTGCACGCGCCTGCAATAAAAAAGCCACACCAACATGTGGGCCCCTCCGCCAGCCACGTCCGTCCGCAGCACGGCTTTCCCCTCTCATCCAATTTCTTTGTGCGCGTCCATCCTGGGCCGAGCATTGCCTTTGCGCGCGTGTGCAAGCAGCAGCGGCACCGCGCCGAACGCCAGCCAAGCGGGCCATTCTTTGCTCGATGCAGATGTTTTTATCATGACATCATGCTTACGTCATATACCTTCTTTTTCTTGGAAAAAAAATCAAGAATACACTACCAATACTAAAAAGCAATGCGCAGGAGGCACAGCTCGCCTCACACGCAAGCCGTAAGTGGCTTGCCCTGCTAGCAGTGGAACCCACTCAAACAACAAAGGAGAATTTCCAAATACTTTTGTAAGCGTAATTAAATTAATTATTAAATAATTAGATCATTTACATGTATACTGCAGGAGTAAACTATAAGAGAAATTATTATTGATTTTCTTTCAGGATTTTTGGAGAACTTATGTAATGCTTGGGTTTCTAGAGCAAACCAGATATGCCATGACAGATGATGGTCTTTTGATTTAGTTTTTGACTTTTAAGAAAATTAAATGATAAAGATCATGAAATGTGCTTTGTATTTTCTATGTAATGAGATTTGTAGATTTTTAATTCGTTTATCTAAGCCACAGGCCAAGTGCGTCGTTGTCGACGTGTGGACAAAAGTTCGTGACCCGGTGCAACGGACGGGCATATATCTAGTATAAGTGAATTGCCCACCTCTCCCATCAGCTTAGGCTTTTGGGTTGAACTGGTCGGTGCATGCAACTTAATATGGTATCAAAGCCAGAGGTCTCGAGTTTGAATCCTGGTTAGCGCAATTAAATAAAATAATTGCTGCTCGCTCCTATTCCACGTCTGAGACCTGAGGGAGCCTCCACGTGAGGGGGGTGTTGGAATATAAGTAAATTGCCCACCTCTCCCATCAGCTTAAGCTTTTGAGTTGAACTAGTCGGTGCATGCAACTTAATATTTAGTTACTAGTTTGATAATTGATTTGGTCTATTTTGATGTGAAGCTACACTATCTATAGATGGTAGTTTAAAGTCAATTCAGCATATTATCTTAACATTGCTATTTCAATAGTAATGTGTTGTTAGAAAATTGTTGGCCCAGCTTCCCAATGGATTTGAAACCTTGCAATAATGAAAGCGTAAGTTGACCAATTACTAATATCTTGCACGTATCTAGCACAAAAACTATCCTCTTCTTTTTGGTCCAGGATTTTATAAACAACCAACAGGCGGAGCAAGTCTTCAGAAAACTGAATACCACTAAGAACCATGTGGTAAACTCAGGGTTTCTATACCAGCTCTTTAAATAAAGCAACAAAAAATCCTGAGTAGTTTTTCAATTGCATTGAAGGAAACAATATCAATTTGGACCAGTTAGATTTGTAATACCGAAAATAGAAGCTTGAAGTGTTGTGAAATAAGACATACAGAGTGCGTATAATTAATATAAGATGTGGCAAAGAAATAATCACTTCCATACCTGTACATGTCAAGCAGAAAACCACTGACCCAGTGCAGTCTTTACAACCTCCTTAGGAACCAATCAACCAAAGCCGAAACCTTCACTAGCTTCATGAATGGCAAGAAGCAGTCGTTCTTCTAATTGCTCCTTTGAGGTATATTCCGGTAAATCCAACTGATTAAAGCTGTGTATTCAATGTGCACTCATAATTACTAAACAAGCAGACAGTAGCATAATAAAGAGGTACAAAAGTGGAAGGCAGTAAATGAACGTATTGATAAGTTACCAGGTATGAGCAGATGGAAGTCGGTCTGGAGCTCCATACGCCTTGTGAATCTGAAATCTCTGGGGGCCAGAAATACCTTGTAGCGCTTTGAAACCCTCCAATGGTACCTATACAAATAAATTCCATGTGTGTTATTGAATGAAGTTTTAGAGCAATATAAACTGTTCAAGATTTATGAGACTTTTTAGATGAAACTACAGTTTCACTGTAGTCTTATTTTAAAATGCATCAAAATTAAGAATGAAGCAGCTTTTGACCTTAGATGTTCCGGTAACAAACTGCAGTAGTCTCGCCATGTCTTCCTTGCTGAATGCTTTAACAACTTCCCAGAACCACTGGATGACAGGAGATGCAGCTGAATATCCTATATATTCCGTGTTAACCTTCAGATCATCCACTGCAAGGAAAAAAAACACAATAAGATACAACAACAAAGCCTTTAAGTCCCAAACAAGTTGGGATAGGCTTATGCAAGGAAGACATGGCGAGACAATAAGATGAAAGGAAATAATAACTTATGCAATAAGATGATGAATTACTCCAGACAGATGAAATCCACTCACGGTCAATTTCAGGAAGACCACTGATCAGCAGCTCAAGTTCTTTATCATTGAATAGCGATATTAGATCCCTTGGAACTAACTCTGTGAAGCCTTCAAGGAAACCATTAATTTGAGGACGAATTGCAGTGGTCAGTATATGTTCCGCTACAAGGTCAACATATTCTTGCTTTGTTTCCTCAGTAACCCTGATGTTTCTTCCACCCGGTTTTAGCTCATAATCCGTAACCTGAATTGAAAAGTTATTAAACTGCACAAGATAAAAGCTGATGCAAGCAGAAAAGGTTTCGGCTAAAAACCATGATGGCTTTTCAATACCTCAGTCTTCTCGTAGAGAATATGCTTTTCCTCATCAGGATCCATGCTGAATGTTAAATCGGGAAGGTCACTTACATCATTCTGTTCAAAAAAGGCATGATTAAGGAACTGCATAGATCCACAAATAAATTAATTAATAAATTAATAAATAAGAAACTGCAGAAGATGAACCCAAACCTCCAGCATCCACTTCAAATTCTTGTAGTAATCAGGATCAATAGCCTCTATATCATGATATGTTACTTTAGCACCTAAGATATGTTTGTAAAATGAACGGGTAAAGTGGACATCCAACAATTGGCCATCAAATAATGCTTTAGCAACCTGTGCAAACAACTAGGTCTCAGAAAAAGGGAAAACAAATGAAGCAGTATTGAATTATTGTGGTTAGTGTCAAGAAATTACCACTCGACCAACAAACTTGAAGTAAGAAAGGTGCTCCGTTTGAAAAACAGAGTTAGGATTAGGCTGGAAAGTCGCGTTGTTTCCAACTGTAGTGAAGAGAAGAGCTCCTTTGTCAAAAATAACTCTAGAGAGCAGTTGGTACCATTCCCTAGTTAGTCCTCCAGCATCTATGCCCTCTTCCCCTTGAAATTGCACAGTCAAGCGACCTTTGAGATCCTGGGTACGACGTAATCTCAACTGATTATATGAGTCCTCCAAAACATAAGCCCTGCGAACACTAATGCGTAGAGGAGCTGAAAGAAGCTGATCATGCTGCTGTCTGATCCGCGACCGGAAGTAAGCACGTTTGTTGTCAAAATCTATCAGCCTTGGCACTTTCAACATCATAGAAAGTGACTTCTCCAGTAAGCTTGGATTTTGTCGAATGAAAACATTGAGTAGCCGTCGATGCTTTTCTGCAACCCTTATAAAAGTAACATTGCAGATCCCACCAGTCTTCAGTGATGGTGAAGATGAACTTCCAGCAGATTCTTTTACTTCGGGGGCAGTAACACTGTAATCTGATTGTGTAACTGGTTGATTTGTTTGAAGCTTCTCGCATAGGACAAAGAATGATTCTATGAACGGCAACAAGCGTTGAGTGCCTGGAGGAAGCGATGATGAACCAGAGGATGAAGCACCAACTTCTAAAGCATCCATCAATGGGGCATGGGAAGCGAGTGATGAATTGTGTACAAATTTTGCCTCTGTGGCACTTATACAATCACTTAACTCTTGCCACAAAGGTTCAAGACCGACATTCAGATCCCACAAAATAGACTGCTCTTCCTGTCGTAAATCTTTTTCATATCTACTATCCATCACACCCGAAGTCAGTGTAGATAGGACTTGCAGTACCCGCAAGATCGCAGCTCCAGCCATAGAGCAAGTACTGAGCCCAAGCATTTGAGTGTTCTTCAGTGTTACAAGCTCCTCAACTGCTGAAGAACTTAAACTCTGAGCAACACCAGCTAACTCAATGGAAAAGAATTTCCGATGCGATGCTGCAACACTAGTCAATTGTTTCACCACCTCCGCAGCAAGTGAGTACACTTTATCTGGAAGACTGAATATTTCAACAAGAAAATATAAGCATATTTGTCTAAAGCTCTGAAAAGAGGACATTTTTCAAATATCTAAACTATGAACTAAGAATGAATTTTCCACATATCAGACATCAGATTTACACCCAAACAATAACATTTCTCTGAGTATTCCAGCAGTAAAAGGTATAATTAATATAAAGCATATCAATTAGTTGCAAATTACTGCACATGGACAAGTTTTGCTGCATACATTAATCTAAAAAACAAATGGTGTCCACTGTTAAGGATACAAGAAACAAATTTCACAAGAGATGGAATGGAAAACAATGTGTCCTTAAAGTAACATTCTAATTGGATCATCAAAGCTAAGAAACAAATATATAGAAGGTAAGAAACTTCCTATGATGCTTGATTATCTTATCTACAGTGACGCGTCTTGATTACGCACTGATCAGCCTTGGGTTCACCTTCATTCTACCTAATTGGGCAACCTTCTCTCCACTCTACCTAGTTGAGAGTTTGTAAGGAATTTTTGGTATGTGAACCTTCTTCCCAACCCATTGCCCTCACAGACTCTCAGCCCAAAATATACTTTCCTGGGCTCACCTTGAAAATGATCAGTTGAGAAGAAAAAAGCAGCTGTAGCATTCAGCAGAAAATACATGAAAACTCTAAGCATTTATAGTAAATCATCATTTGTGCACGCTATGCAAAATTAAGTAAATAAAATAGAAGGGTAAGGCAAACACTAACCCCTCAAGTGCAAGAATATTGCATAGATTATGTAACTCAGCATCAGGAAGCTGAGTAAGGATTTCATGCACATTATCATTCTGTTTAGCACAAGATGGTGGGACCTCAACATCTCTGCTTTGGTTATTATCCGGGATATGACCTTGTTCCAGAGTAGATGGTTCCACCTGTGTTTGAGATGGTGTCCCATCAACTAATTCAATATCTGAACTGTTAGTTATCTGTGCAGAGTGAGGTGGACAATCAATTTGGGATGCAGCATTGTGAACAACTACTTCCAGCAAACACATCACCTGGCGCACAAAATTAAAAGGTATGAGAAATATTTTAAGTGAACAAAAAGCTAACATACACTAAAACAAGTGCTGATAAATACCTGCTCAAGATATACGCGACTCCGCAGAAATAAGGGTTTATTTAGAAGCTTAAGAAACAATAGAATAGGTGTATAACCCTCTGAAGATGGTTGCATCATGTTCGGCGTTGAACTTTCTTGAGATGTCTCTTTATTGTGATGTAATGTCAAACAGTTTGAACTAGCTGAAGGATTGAAATGGATCAAAAGATCCGCAACAGATGGATGGTTAGAAGCAAGATATGTCAGGATTTCAAGAAGTCGCCGTGTTACAAGTGGAGGTAGACCTGGAGAGATGAAGTGCAAGCATATAAGGTCGCTTAAGTACCCAATAACATTGTTGAACAATATAACAGTGAAGAAAAAAGGAAGATAATACAGAGAGTATTAGGGAGAGCCAAAGGTTATAAAACAAATTACAAAAGGAGACAAAATAGAGAGAATACTACCATTTGCAGAGTAAGGTTGTGCGTAAACAATGTTCCACTGACATCCATGTAATCTATATGTAGCCATGCAATCAGATACGCTAAGCCCTTCAGATTCAGGTTTAATCATGTTGAGCAGATGGCCAACCAAGGTAACACGTGTGACACTATGTGCGCATAAATTGAACATAAGCCTTTGAAGAAGGCCTTTGCTGAGTGGCTGCAAAATTGTGGAATAGTTAAGCAGTTTAGCTGAAGGAAATATGGGCAAAAACTTAGTAATAAGGAAAAGCATGTGACAATTAGCAACATTTTCAAGTCGTCTTTATTGATAATAAGGAGAAGCAAGTGACAATTAGCAACATTTTCAAGTCGTCTTATTGATGTCTTATTTGCAAAAGCTATTTTTGTGCATGCCCACTAAAATTCTGACCAGGGACTGATTTTGCATAACAATCAAAAAATAAATTTACATTGAAAATAAAGGAACAGGACAAATATTACCAATCAAAAATATGCATAGCTTAAGAGCTTCCTGGATGTCCACACAATCAAAAATATGCATAGCTTCCAATAATATGCTATTGTCCATAGATGAGACACATATAGGTTTATACCTACCATACATCTCAATTCAATTTATAGATTATTTCATAGATGGTGAGGTTTCCATAATGTAACAATCTAGCAGAGACATGGTTGCTCATTGTTCTTATTGCCTTGAGCAAGTAGGATGTAGAGAAAAGATAGCAAAGCAGACAGCACAGTGGGAGTGGGGGAATAATAGAAGCAAAACTCATCCCCATAACATTTAATTTTGCAAGTTCATTTCCAATGTAAACTTACTCCCTCCATCCCAAAATAAACACAAAGTTTGACTAGAAATAAAGAAAATAGTATCAATATTTGTATCCCCAATGTAAGTTTATTATAAGTATATTTCATGCTCAATCTAATGATACTTATTATACATCATAAACTTAGCATATTTTCTATATATTTGATCAAACTTCAAAAGATTTGACTCATTGGGAAGCGAAATGTACGTTTATTTTGGGACAGAGGGTGTATGTGAATGGACAGTTTGACACATTAAAGCTTCACAACCAAATATATTTAAGAGATCTTTCAGCAAGAAAGTTTTTGCAGCTGCCTGCTCTCAGTTCTTGTAACCATAGTGATGAGAAAATGCACACCAAGGAATCCTCTGAGTTTGCTTTTAGAATCCCCACCATGCAAGCCTCTATCATTTCATTTAACATTTTGGAAACTAGCGCATTACAAATTTACAAGGTGAGTTTTGCACTTTGCAAGTAAATATATGTGCATGCAATATTACATTAAATCATAAAACTATAGAACAATGCCCAAAACCACCCTATTCCCTTGAGAATTAGCTGACTGCAAGTTTACAATGTGAGGTTTGCACTATGCAACTAAATATATGCATGCAATATTACATTTACATTACATCATAAAACTACAGAAGAATACCCAAAACCACCCTATTCAAGAAAAAAAATACAGTTATCTAGATACTAGAGCATATGCACAGTGTGAACATTACCGGAGCAAGCTGCAGGAGGCGAATAAGTGCCCGCAGAGCTTCTGAGTCCAGAAGCGGGGTCCCCTCCACATCTTTACCCTTTGAACCGCCTGGTGTAGTAGAAATAACCCTTCTACCCACAGTAACACCAACAGCTCTGTCTATAATTGTCTGATTATCAGTTGGCAGCCTCCTCCCTCCAAGCCTGTAGCTTCCACCAAAAAGGCTCCCTCTAGCACGATAGCGACTCAACTCTCTGTCCCGTAGCATTTGAGCTTCAGCAAGTAAAGCTGAAGGAAGCGCAGACAGAACAGCTTCGGATGAGGTCAAAAGCACCTGTGCAGTAAAACAGGCCAGTATTAGTATTAAACAGGTATGTAAATTAAACCTTACCTCTCCATCATGCAAATAAGGATTGGAAATTTTCTAAAATTGAAGCATTACCTCTTCACGTAAATCAGGAGGGAAAGTTGCTATAATCGAAGCATTATCCATATCTACTGGCTGCCCAACTGGTTGAGAGTGGGCAATCCTCTGTGCTCGCTGCTGGGCTAGAACCTCAGCCTGTATATCTGGTGGAAGAGCAGCCAAAAACTCAGGATCTATTTCTTCTGCAGCTGGGGGAGTATAGGAAGCAGCTGGGGCAGAACGGTTCTGCTGAGAAGCAAGGACTTCAGCACGAAGATCCTCAGGCAATGCTTCAAGAAATGTGGGATCAATTTCATTAGCACTGGAGGCCTCATTATTAGCATTAGGTTGCTCTGTCTGAGGCTCAGCTTCTTCATGCCTCCTAGAAGACAAATCATTGCCATCAGAAGCAGGAGCTGAGTTCTCAACTTCATTTTCAGCAATATCAACACTATTCATGTCAACATCAGCATCCACTGCTGCAGAATCCACATGAGCATCACTCAGCTCAGGAGCAGCAGTTGCAGAAGTGACAAGTGCATGGCAGCTTGACTCCAGATCAGATGGGGCTTCCCTAGGATCATTACCCAAGTGAACTTGTTGAGGTGCTTCAATCTCATTTTGCATAATATGACCATAACTTTCATTACCAGACAAGGAATCTCTTTCAGGATGACCATCGAGCTGTGTATCAGCAATACACATCATTTCATCACTCTGAGGTATAGCGTTAGGATCATCAGGTGCTGTTTGCCGCACCGCTTCTTCAACACGATTATCATAAATGGAACCAACAAGCTGCTGATTTACGTGCACATCTGTAGGACAGAGGACATCATTAGCAGGAGCAAGTCCTTGGTTAACAGTACAAACTGGCTGATGGCTGCCAACAGGTTGAGAAAGAGGATCGGTTGCTACAGGTTCAGCATTTCCTGTATCTGGTAACGCTAATTGTGCATTCACAGCATTGCCAGTCTGTTCAGGCTGCACCTGAGGAGCATTATTTGAATTACTAGCCACAGTTAACTGTGACACAAAATGACCCTCAACTGCCTGAGCAACAGCAGCTGCATGATTACCTGCCTGTGGTTGACCATCATCAGTCCACAAATTATCTCCAGGGCCCCGCCTAATTCGGAGGGAATCCAAACCAAGTGAGAAATCTATCAAAGGTGGCGGAGCAGTACTTACAACACGTTCACCAAACACGGCGGGAGCAGTTTCTGGTGGAAAGCCAGCATCTAACATGTATAAGGGGATGTCTGAATTCCCAAAAGACAGCGTGTGAAAATCTCTTGAGGAGGGTCCTCCAGAGGGCCACGCTAAACTAGTTCCCTCCCTAGATTGTGCTGGCCTGACAAGCAGTGGATGAAGAAAGGCATTCCCATCAGTCCTTGGTCGATCAAGAAGTGACCTACTTCCGCTTTGGCGCCGCCGCTCAAGACCAAATGAACGATGCAGGTTAAATGAATCATCTGTCCCCACACCATGAAATGACTCAGAAGATATATCAATAAAACCACTGGAGTCTGCACGACCCCTGGAAAATCGCAGATGATGATCCATTCCAGTTAAGCTCTCCCTCCATCTTACTTCTACAACACGGTTCTCAAGAAAGTCATCATCTTCTTCATCCATAAGGTCATCATTGTATTCATCACCAATTGCATTGTTCTCCTGGTCCTCAATATCTGTGTCAGCTATGGACATCAAACCAGCTCCCTCATCTGCTATTTCCTCATCATCTTCATCCTCATCTTCTTCATCCTCACCTTCCTCCCCAAGATCCTCATCTTCCACACCCATTTCATCATCAACTTGATGTTGCACTGAGAAAGCCAAACCAACATCAGTACTAGTAGCCATTACATTACCTTCAATAGCTTCTTCTCGCATGAACTGCACAGCTCTCATTGGAGGATTGCCATTAGAAGTATTATTGTCGGCTAGATCAACTCCCATTTCTTGTTCAGCGGGTTGGTCAAGGTTTTCATTATTGTTCCCACCGACATGAGACAGTTCTTGAGCTTGCTGACTTGCAGATTGGATGATGTCATTAGTATGATCATGTGTGTCGTCTGTAGTTTGTTCATGGATTACAGTGTCATCAGCTTCACGTGTTTGTTCATGTGACCCTGGTAATCTGTTATTGGTAAATCGATCTGTCTTGAGGACTTGATCGCTGGCATAAGCAGTCCTAGTGAGGCTATCCAAAGCCTTCAATATCAGGTTGACAACCCTTGCAGCATCTGGGTGGTCAAGATCAATTACTTTCAGCAAACCAGAAAGAGATTGCACCATTCCACCATCTACCATAGGTTTTGCAATATCAGGTGAGCAACCAAGAACAGGCAAGTTGCTCTGACTATTCCGCGACAATATGGAATTCACAAGCTCAGAGAAAGCCAAAACTTTTCTGTCAGGTATTAAAGATCCTTTGGAGGTGTTGCTTGCTGAACCAATGAAATAGTTAAATGCCTTTACAATTTCAGAAACAACCCTTCTACGACCTTCAGCAGATCTGCAGCATAAAGCTACCAAGAACCAGGAAGCTCTCTCAGACAACTTACCAATCCAATCATCTGAGGCATCAGCCATTTTGACCGAAGGTAGAGGAAGTAACAGATAGAATATATGATGCAGTAAACCACTGTGTCCAGCAACTTGATCGCAACTTCGTGACTGTGATATCTCTGTATCCCGTCTCAGAATTATCCCTACTGCATGCACATACATGAGGAGTATTTCACTCATCAACTTAAGGACAAATGCAAACTTTGACAGCAAGGCAGATCTCTCAGAGAGGGCATCACCATCCAGCTCTTGGCCATCATCAACTTTAGATTTGCCCTTCGTATTTGGTTCATCAACATCCATTGGAGTCAACAGGGAGTAACCATCAAACCGATGTTCTTTGCTTGCAGATGGATAGCTCATAATGATCTCAAGAAGCTGATCAATCACTTGAGAAAGACTAGCAGGAACCTTTTTGTGGTTCCGTGAACATCTGTTTGGTGTATCAACTGATTTAACCTCAGCAATCAACCGAACAGGCTCATTACATGGCACACCACTTTCTGTTACAGGAACTTTTGTTTCTCCCTGTCTTTCTCCTTGTCCTTCAACAACACTACATTCATTCTCCCTCCTGTATAATCCAATTGGCAGACTGAAGTTACAGCCTTCATGAAGATCACAGGATCTCTAGATATCAGTGGTGCCATAATTGTCAGAAATGAGCGAGGAGTACGACTCCCACGGTTACTTAATGACTGTCGTATCTCCAATTCCATGGCACTCTGCAAGGTCTTGGGATCCTCAATGAGGTGGCGCACAATGGCAGATGCTAAGGTCTCAAAGCCAGGAAAGATGCAAGTGCCTGGGAGATTTAAAAGAGATGCTAACCCACCACTTTCAAAGAAGTGGGCAGCAAGAGCATGTGTTTTTGTCAAGCGAGCACTGAGCTGAAGCACAGCTTGCATAACTGTTGCAGGCACACATAGCTTAATGAATTCACAGCAGAAAACCAGTGCCTTTTGGCTCTCTTGATCATTCAAATAGCCAGTAGATTTCCCCAAAACCTTTTTAAAGACATTAGCACTTGCATCATCTGCTGAATCAATAATTTCAGTTCCATTTTCAGCAGTTGGTAATGGATTTGCCTTACTGTCAGCACTGGATGCATCAGAAATTGACTTGGATATACCATCCATTGTTTCCATATAGAGTTTTGGATTAAATTGTAGCATGTTATCCAATATAAGCAACAGAGCACTGATAGAATTCCAAGTCTGATCTGTCTGGTCTGTCCTTGATTTAAGACTTTCTAACATGTTAAGAACTTGGGAGATGACACCATTTTCGGCACTAATTTCACGTATGCCACAGTCTTCACTCAGAAGCAAAGCCAACAAATGAGAAACAGAATACAAAGCGCCCATATCACCCGTGGTATCTGACGAAAAACATCTTAGTTGCTCAAAAAGATACAGTACTACTCGCTTGCAGTATTCACCCTTATTCCGGTTGCATAGTGTCACTAGAAGGTCAGTCAATGGGAAAGCCATGGTGGAATCACTAGAGCGGAAAAGCTTTGTTGATACAGTAAGGATGTCATCCAAAGGGAGCACAAATACACTTTTTTCTTCAGCAATGGCTGTATCATTCTTATGGCTCCCATCCTCCTTGGGTGTTTCAATGGAGCTTCCAAGTGACAAAGCTAACGCTTGTGCTAGCTGCACATCTTCCTGAACAAATTCTTCTGGATGGCTGAATAACCAATCTGTTGCCATCTCCACGCTGTTAGTTCTGACGCTTCTAAGAGATTCTTCTGCCCTAGCCCTTGAAAATCCCATTTCAACAATTGTAGCAATAGCAGATTCATCAAGAGGGGGGCTAGTAACACGCTGGTTGGCAACTCCAACACTACTGCGGCTTTGCTTCATATCTCCAACAACAGAGCATATATTGTTCATAATTGACACCAGGGAGGTAACAAGAGCTGGGCTGCACCCAGGAAACATTGTATGATTCCAAACAGGAAGAACTGCATCAAGAACTTGAGATTGGAGCATGCGAGCAAATGATTCTGGATCTGAAGGCACAGGGAATAGATTAATTGACAGCTCAGTTACAATAGGCTGGACAAGAAGCTGATTATGAGAAGAGGATGGAGACAATAAGAATGTAGAGTTCACACAATATTCTAGAAATTTACAGTAACTCTGTAATGTATCCAGCAGCCAGGAATTGTGAGACACCTTCTCACTAACAGAGGAACCTTGATCTGAGGCAGCAGCCAAGACAGAGAAAGGAAGTGTCCATAGTAGCTGACTGGTGGCTTCAAAGGTCGTTAGAACTTCCTTGAATGTTCCATTCACATAGAAGCTATTAACGAGTGCAGAATTGCATAAGCGACGTCTGCTGTCAAATGTAAGCACAGCCATGTCTTCCACAACCTTTCCAAGGTAACGGCATTTCACAGATAAAGACATCTCAAAACCTGCAGTAGAATGTCCAGAGAAACCAAGAGCACTAAGGAAAATTTGCGCTAGTGCAGTCACCAGACTTCTCGAAGCTGGGTTAAGGTTAGAGTCAGCCCGACGCCGAGCCGCTGATCCTTTGACAAGGCTAGAAAGGAAGGAACGCATGGTATAGCCAAATTTCGTCAGAAGTTCAGAAACAACAACATCAGGGCTTTTCTTTAGAGCATCATGACTCCTTGATGTCTCTGCTGGAAAACAAGGACCATCCAAATCAGTATTTGTTGCATCCAACGCTCCATTTAGGCGCCCACTTATCCTGGATAATGAGTGTCGACCATGGCGGTGCATATTGGCAGCGGATCGCACAGTTGAAACAAAATCTTGCTCCATGCTCCAGGGTGATAAAGAAGCCCTTGCTGAAACAGGATTCGTATATCTTGAAAATGGTGCTGTATTTGTGTCATCATCACTATCCCTTTCAGAAATTGAAGCATCCCCAGCCAAATCATCTTGATCTGCCTCTTGCTTATCCACCTTAGAATCACTGAGTAAAGATATCTGCCATGTGACTTCAATATAAACCTTCCCCAATTCCTTCAATATCTCAGCATCAGCAAAAGCCAGTTCTGAGACCATAATGGTAGTTCCCTTCAGGAGAAAATTTGCAAGAGACAAAAGCCCTTCAAGGGTAGAAAGTGACTTCAGAAGAGCTGATTGCTTTGTAGGTTCGCTATCAACCAGCTTAGTTCCAGAGATCGAACCCAACAATTCATTGGTCATTTTAAGGTGGTCTCTAAAGAATGAGCACACTGCTCGTGCAAGAGAAACAGAATGCTGAGGTGAGAAGTTATTGAATGCAACAGAAATACTCTGACCAATTGAAACAAATACAGGTATTGATGGCAACTTAAAGAGTTGAAGTACAGCTTCAATGCCTTTTTTCTCAATAAATAGCCTACATGTATCAGTATTTTGCAGAACAGTTTCAAGGAGACGAGCAACATTGCATATGCACTCAGGAAGAAATAACTCAATGGATGATGATGTCAAAGCATCTAGAGGAGCATCAACTGTTTTGACTGAGCATCCTACCTCAGGAGGTACACCCTCACTCTGTGTTGTAGCTACCTCCACATCAGTATCCATGGGAACAGCTGCAGAGGAATTATCAGATTCCTTACAGGAAATAGAGTCTCCACCACACCCTACTTTAGAAATAGTGTTCAAGATTTCAATAAACATGCTAACTCCAGAGGATCGTAATGATGATGCATGACGCATTAATTCATCAAGTCCACTTGATAAGGCCCCCGTTGTGTCACCACTAAGAGCTTTCAGATATAATCTAGAGGTAAAGATTTTCACAAAACATCTTAAAGCATTGCGGTCCTTTACCAATTGAAGACCATTATTGTTCAGGCACAATGCATCCAAACACTGTGGTATACATGAGACTGCATCAGAGTTATAAAGTACACCACCCATTATGGCATCAAGAAATGCTTGTGGCAAACCAGCTGCATCAAGAACAGTATAGCATGTTGGATCTTTATGTATGAGATCACTCATAACACTTGCAGCAAGTGAGAAAACACCACCACCAAAGTCCTTGCCTCTCTTAAAAATCTTACATAAACATGGGGGTAACACATTCTCTTCTGAACCATCAACACGAGCAGAACTACCGGGCACATATGTTGCCAGAGATATTGTACGTAGTAAAACTTTCATTAAGTTCTTCCTATGATACAAAATCAAGGATTCAGAACATGAAGGCTGTATATCTTGCACAGGTGGACAGCTTTCAACCTCTTTTCCTTTATTGTTCGAATGAGACTGTTCAAATTTTTTTGAAACAACCTCAACTTGAGATACTTCTATCTTAAGACGAGCAATAGTGTCATCTAGTCCACCTAGATCTCTGAACAATGCTGAAGAAGGATTGTGATAATCCAGGAAGCTCTCAATGACATGCAGTGCTGTACTAACTAGATGTAAATGCTGTGTGTTTGTGTCTTTGAGAAGAGGCAAAATAGTGGGTATAAAGCCTGCTTCTTGTAAAGCTAGAGAACCTGGTGTTGATGATACCAGCATTGATACAAGCGAGAGAAGTGATTCGGCAAATATTATGGACCATTTCATAGAACCATTGATGATAGAGTCCACTGCCTTCTGCATGAGACTAGGAAGGATACCACGATGACCACCAGAAGTTACTAAGGACAATACAGTAGGCTGGTGAGATCGATCTTGGCACAGTGCAACTAATGAAAGGATTCCCAGTATCCTAATTTTTTCTGGTATCTCATCCTCGTAGCTAAGCAGTGATAACAGCTCATCAATGAACTCTGGTTCGTTGCTCAAAAATGTTGATAGACCTTCCGAATCATGGCCTGCTTGGACAAGAACAATAAAGGCATACAGGCAGATACAGATATACTGGTGTCGACATGTTAAAGTGTCAAATGCCCTTGCAAATCTCAGTCTTGTAAGAAGAGGGAACCTTAAAGCTTGTGGCACACTGTAATCCTTGATTAATCTGTCTAGTATTTCAAGATCTGTCTCCTTGCAAGTATTGACATTTGATAAATGAATTACTTCCAACCTGTTCTCATTCTCTAGACACTGGGATTTTTCTGATTTATCAGCAGCACGATAGAACTCAAAATGGAGAGTGGAGCCAACCTCAGTGGAAACTGGATCAGATACACTGGGCAGAGAACATGCTATTAATCCAAGGCCACCTTCTTTTCCACCCCAACCTTGAGAGAAGGCAAATAACTTTGAAGCGAGAGACGCACTGCGTATTGAGCTTTTCCCAACTGACTTGTCCACAAAAGCCATTAATGTCTGCAAGCTTGCTTCAATAATATCTGCATCTGTAGATGCTAAAAGGGCAGACAGATGCTGCTGTAACCAAAAATACATAAATTAGCAGTATACTACTGGAAATGAATAAAACCAGAAAGTTATGCTGCTCCCTTATAGTAAATAAGTACAAAGGGGAAAAACAAGTAGGTCTGCAGATAAACAGGACATGCATAAAGTGCTGACCTCAAAAAAAATATAGAAGTGTCTATTTGTACAATTTTCCAATATTAGTTTTGATACTCGGAGAATTTGAAGGACTGCTTCTCGAGGAAATGGGGGATCCACATCAAGAAAATTATCTTCAAGATGCAAATCTTTCCTTGATTTGATATAACTCTCAAAGAAAGAATCAAAGTGATTGAAAAGGTCCACCCAGTGATGGAAATCCCCCTACACCAATTTGGTAGCAAGAGATTAGAATTAATAACATCACCACAAAAGATGCTATACATAAAAAGTCTGATTTACACACCTTGTCGAATTCCCATGCAAAATTCTTCAGCGGCAATTCTACATTCTCAAGAGGAACGGTGGTAATACTGTTGATGAAAGATTTTATATTTGGAGGCTGCAAACAAAACAACATACATTGGTGAAAGGTACAAGATAGGAAAAAAAAGGATCTGCTACATGCTGGATTAATGATCATATGTAAAGCAATAAGCAAATGCAACCAACTTGTGCGCACAATTGTTTCATTTAATATCACACGCTGCTTAGGTTTCATTAACAGATGAGTTTGATAAACAGAAATCATGCTCCCATTAGATTTAGTAACTCAAATCTCAATGTGCCATTGGAAGAAGTTGGGACTTGAATTTCATAGAGATAACCAGAGGCCCTGGACTTGCGTGGTCATCTCACCCTAACGCACTAAGGCAGAGGTGAGGCAACCGTGCAGGTTCAAGGGGACGAGGCAGTAACTGGAATTTGGGGTGTGATATCTGATATGAATATAAAAGTTCAATTCAAGGTCTATTAAGGTTTAGGGGCCTGAGACAATAATGCAAAATCTGGGGACTCTAAGGTGCAATTTATCAATTTAAAATTTTTGTCCAAAACTGGAGGAGGGACCAAAGCTAGCTAAATCTCTAACTCCACATCAAGATCAGTTGGGACTCTCCTGATCTAGTAGGGATCAATGCACAATACATCTCATACTCTTCTCATTTGAAAATCTTTGCCTCTAAACATTTCTCATCAAAGTCTTAGAATGTTGACCATAACAGGTGTTAATTACACAGCTTTTATCTGTTAAACTAAATGGCCTTGTTTAGTTTTGCAAACATCAAGAGACAGAAAAAGAAACAAAGAAAAGAAATCCAGGTCTGCGCATGCTAGGTTTGGCCAACTGCAGATCTATGACAAACGTTAAAAGCAAAGAACCCCACCAAGATTGCATCAAACAGTTTGATAGCCAGAAAAATGAAGCCTTCCGGATGAGTTTGTGTTATATGAGACATATATCTAAGCAGGGGGGAGGCAGGCGGGCGGGGGTGAGGGGGGTCGTTAATATATCTTCTCATTATTAGTTCCTAATAATCACTAGAAATTATAAGTAAATAATGTCTTCTCAGCCAATTCTAAATTGTTTTTCTCAAATAAATCTCCTAACTATCTAATGTTAATAAGTGTCTAAATAAAGTAAATATGATGTGAACCGTTAACCTATGAACAATGTTCCTTTTTATCTTCCATTTGAACATTTAGCATTTTTTTGAGATGAAAAGATTAAAGATGATTTTATTGTAGTTTTTTAAGCCTACATCAAAGTCAATAATATTTTAAACCGACATCAAGATTTGATGGTGGAACCATATACTTTTTTGTAAACACTTGATGATCCCCCCCAATATCTAAATCCTGGCTCCGCCCCTGTATCTGAGGTCTAAAGTTTCTTCTTGTAATCATAAAGACATAATTACTGTTGCAAGGATTGCGGAGACTTAATAATACACAAGGAACCCTGTGATCCCCGAAAATAAAAAATACCGTGGGCTTGTAGCATACTTAAACCCAAAAAACCTACTATCACCGGGAACTGGAATCACCACTACCAGCGGTAAACCTCACAGGTAGTAGAACTCCCGACAATAACCTAATTTCAGGTTTAACTACCGCACATACGAGGTTTGGCCAACTGCAGATCTAAGACATCTTGTAATCACAAACTACTGTTGCAAGGATTGTAGACACTGAACACTACAAAAGCCACGATGGCAGTCTAGCGGTTCACCAACACCAAAGCACCCTGGCACGCAACTTCCTAACCGCCCAAAAGGAACAAGAATCTACACCACGAGCTAAGCCGCACCAGTAGAAAGAAACCTGGGAGCAATACCCTAATCCGTTCGCCTTCGCAACCGCCGCGATCAGGCGATCGGCACATAGATCGCGGGGATCGAGTGGTAGTAGGGTAACCGAGGGGCCAAGGCAACGTACCACTTCTACCGCGCGTCGCCGCTTGAGCTTCATACCGCAATTCGCATCGCCGGGAAGGCAAAGACCTCCACCGCGCCGTCCGCCTCCGCAGGGGGCAACCCACTGCGCCGTCGCCTCAGTAGGGGGCAAGCCGCTGCGCCGTCTGCCTCCGCCTGGGATCGCTGCGCCGTCGCCTGAGGCAGTCGCTGCCGAGGCTCCGGGTGGTTAGGGTTTTTCGGGGGCGCTGGCGTGATCGCGGGGGAGAGAAGGCGAGGAATCGTATCGGATGCGCGTGTAGGCGAGGCGAAGTAAAGGAGAAGCGGCGTTGTTACGCACGGCGACGGGGAGTTATGTGACGGTGACGGTGACGGTGACGGTGACGAAACTAGGCATGCCAGGGGTGGACTCTCTTCGTGCCACGGGTTCACGTTACGGAGATCAAGGGTTGTGCTCTTTTTGAGGGGATTTGTGATGATCGGCTCGGCTGTAATTTTTTTTGCTGCAGCAGCAGCCTCATACCTGAGGCACCGTCGATGAAGGGCTAACATGGACCACGAAATATTGACACTACTGCTTATACAATGTAAATTATTACTACTTGTGATGTGTATAGAAATCTTTTTTTTTCATCATGCTTCATCTTTATTTACTCTTTCTCTTCTTTTTAGCATAGACCACCTTCTCTCTCCCTAAACATGCGTAGCTTCTACGAGCCACTATGACAAGTACAAAGCACCTACTTTTTTTATCCGGTCCTACATGGCACTTGGGGCTACCAGTGAAAAAGCAGCGTTGGGGAAGGCCTTAGGCTCCTTTTGGTTGGGTTTTCCGATTATTGACGATAGTTAACATTCATCATAGATCGTCAATATAACTTATATAAATGCATGAAAATGATCACCAACATATGTCTAGGGTTTAAACTGACAAATTCCACAAGTTTTGGTGAATCTATGTTTTCAGGAGGATTTATTCAGGAAATGAGCAAGATGGATGCAATCGCCAGAGCAAATCACGATCATCCGCGACGAAACTGACTTAGAAGACCTCAAATCCACCGTCCAAAGCAAATCACCGCAACCTGGCCCGAGTTGACACCAAATTTTGGTTCGTCGCGTAGGACCCCATGATTCGAAACTTGTCGGAGAAAGCCGTAGTAGATGCAGAATCAGCTGGGCAGAACGTAGATTAAGGTCGGTTAGATTTCAATGACATCATCATCTCAAGAAAGCTTTAGCAGTGAGAAAAGGCTCGACCAAAGATAGGAAGGCACATCGGTTTCCCTAGAAGAGGAAGTTTGGATTTCAAGTTATCTTAATTTAGGATATTTCGTTTTCTTTTCCAAGTTTTGTGACCGGTCTTGTTCGATCAGGACTCATAGTCAAGCATCGGGTATAAGTATTGAATCTCGGCTATTGTAATAGACATCTCCGTGATCAATCAAAAACTAGTACCTTTACCTTTCGGCTTACGCCACCCTATAGGTGTAGGAGTAGAGTAGATTTCGGCGAGTTCTTCAGCAAGCAGGGCTGTCATCGGTTAAGTCCGACCTCCGGTTTGTCTGTGAGTATCCGTCACGACTTATACTTTGTTTGTAAGGCTACATCGGTTAGGTCTGACCTCATGCAAGCTTTGTATAAGTTAGTTATCATCAGTTAATTATAAGGTTGCATCGGTCCGGCTCGTATCTCTTATAATTACTGATACAAGTTACCCTCGATTCTTATCAAAATTTATATGGTTGCATCGATCCGGCTCGTATCTCATACAAATTTTGATATGGATTAGTTATCGGCTAAATCTATTAAAATTGGTAGGGTTTCCTTGCTGTTTTTAATAGATTTGCTAGTTATCGATCTTGTTATAATTATTATCCTTACTATTTGTAACAAAATCACCCCTTGTCCGATTAAGATTGAAACGAATCGGCTTTATATCTATTTAAATCATCATCTAGTTGCTTTACCTTGTTTATACCTTGTTGTGATGATGGTTTCGGTTAGCTTAGCCGTTTTGATCCAAACTTGATTGAAGATGGCATGTGGTCAAGACGTGTTTAACCCTAGGTAAGCTTGCTAGTTGATGAAATCTGACCTAGAACTGCTATTATGGCTGTCATCGATCCGGTCGACCCCCATTGTTAGCACTATAGATTTGAAATCGTTAGGTAGTAAGTCTTGCTTATGGTTAAACATAGTCTCTGATTGCATGCTATGTCCGCATCGGCTATTTAGCCGATCGCTTGTGCATTCGCAATCGTAGCATGTTTTCATGATTCCATTAGACACGTATAGATTCGTATTATTTGAAGGTTTAATCTATTATCTTTATCATGGATGCATCGGTCTGGCTCGAACCCCACTGTTAGAGATAATAGGTTAGATTAGATAGGTGTATGGATTTATCAACATTTAATAGTTGAGTGTTTGCATGTTGCGAGTCTTCCTTCACTAGAATCGGCTGTTTTAACCGATAGCCTATCTGTTGAGAATATATATATTGGCTATTCCTCTGTTTTTACTTGTTTTTGCCTTGGTTAAAAGCTAATATGTTTCTCAATAAATATGAATGCTCTCACGCCTATCTTTTTACATCTTGTGCTTGTTTTTATGATTATCAGCTAGTTAGATCTCTACAATTGAGTACATGATAATTGTCGATATACTTGTTCTTACTTATCATGCATCATGAACATGCTGGATATTGACTCTCTAGTCAATAACTTTATTTTATCGGCTACTTAGCCGCACATTTAGAGTTGTCTGGACAAACACTGGCATGTTCCACCTTAAATTACTGATCAATCTTGTCTCTTTGTCAATTACAGGGTCAAATTGACTGGCATATCCTAGGTCACGACCATTCAGTCCGGTGTCCTCCTAAGTCTGGGGAGAGCTTGGAATCTGCTCCACGTGGTTTCTCTCGGCTTGCTTACGTGTCGGCGGTGGCGATCGACCCGTCACCTTTTTCGCCGTCGACACAGATTTGGCACGCCCAGTGGGACCACAATCGTCAACATGAACAACGAAGCGATCCTCATGGTCAACCTTGAAGACCTGCCTGATGATCAGAAAGCACTCATTGAGTAGGTAACGGAGAAGTTCCGTGAGAAGTGTCTGCTGTCATACAGTAGGACAAGCGATTCAGTCGTCCAGAAGACTCCCCTACCAAGTGTCCACCTGTATGGACAAAGTGAAGATGTTAAAACAAGAACTACTGCCCATTCGGTTCACAAGACTGTTCACAAAGTCTTTACAAATCACAATAAGGTGTTAGCCAACACAATTGGTAATGTTATAAAGGAGGTTTTCTTTAGAGTGCTAGTTGATCAGGTGGGACCGTCATATTTCAATGGCTATAATCCTTCGGCTGTTGGAAGCAATGTGCCTAGTTCTAGTCAGCAGCCGAATGATGGACAGTATTAGCAGCCACCAACGTAGCAGCTTCCAGGAGGACAAGTTCAAGATTAAACCCTGCAAGCGGTAGGGTGGCATGGTCAAACCCTGCCAACGGCAGGGGGCAAGGTCAAATGACAGGGGCAACCGCCAGCGCAGCAGTCACCAAGTGTCCCTGTCACAGATAGTTCAGCAGCCTACTGGACAAAATCAAGTGTATTTAGTCCAGCAGCCAACCTCATCAATCACTCAACAGGTTGTGCAACGGCCGGCTCAAGGAAGATTCAGTACTTCCTATCAAACACCTTAGTCGACCCATAAAATTGCTCCGTTAGTTCAGAGGATCATCAGTCCATTACAAGGATATGCAACTCACAATGCTCAGATCGACTATCCAGAAGGATATCACCTGGTTTCTGATGCCAGCACGTACGAGCTTATGCCACACCTTGGGTATCAGAATCCTTATAGTTATAATGCGCAACAACTCCAGCAATCTCAGGTCCAAGGACAATAGTCTCCGGCTCAGGGTCAACAAGTTCAAGTGCAAGGCTCTTAGGCTCAAACTCAAGGGCAGCCGAGACGAGAAGTCACTGGCATGGATGCTGATGAGTTCTTCAATAGGATAACTACTATGATGCAGAGCCAGTTTGGTTTAAAGCCTAAAGGACAGGTTGGCTATTACCAACGAGTATGATATTGTGCAACTCTCTCCACGCTACAGAGTCCCAGATTTCTCTAAATTCACCGGGATAAATGAGATGACAACCATGGAACATATCAGCCGCTATCTCATTCAGCTCGGAGATGCATTTGTTGAGGAGGCACATAAAGTTCGGTTCTTCCCCTTGTCCCTATCTAGACTAACCTTTAGTTGGTTTTCCTCACTTGAGCCAAACTCGATCACTAGATGGGCCGATCTAGAGAAAATGTTCCACACATACTTCTATAGTGGGACGGGAGAGAAGAAGATCACAGATCTAACAAAGCATGAGGCAGAGGAATAGTGAGTCAGGCTCTGAGTTCACTCAAATATTCAGAGAAGTAAGGAGCCATTGCTACTCATTAAATCTGTTTGATGGTCAATTGGCTGAATGGCCCTTCAAGGGTGCTCCATTAATCAAAGAGAAATTTGATGGCCAGGAGTTTGAGAGTTTGGCCCACCTAGTTCAGAGGGTGTGTGCTTTTGAGAGTTAACATCGATCCCTACGCAAAATGCTGCTATGTCTGATCCATACAATGTAGACTCTGATGGGGATGATCTAGAAGTTGCAACCACCGAGTGGACATGGGGCAAGGATCCTATATCTTGTCCATGGGTAAAGAAAGTAGAAAATGCCTATGACTTCAATGTCAAGAAGGCCAATAAGTTCTTTAACTTGCTGCTGGAGAAGAAGCACTTGAGATTACCTACAAATCATGTGATACCTTCGACTGAGGAACTTAAAGGGAAGAAATATTACAAGTTTCAAATGCTACTAATCATAACACTAACAAGTGCAGAATCTTTCGCTTATATATTCAGAAGGCCATTAAGTAAGGGAAAATCAAGTTTGAACCAGCCAAGAAACCAACAATGGACATAGATAAGCATCCTTTTCCGGAGGTGCATATGGTAGAGTTTCAGTTGGCCAAAGGAAAGACAAAGGTCTTGACATC